TTGTTCTGGGAAACTAAAGAAAATAAAAGGCATTTGAAGACTGATGGAAAGGCGAATTAAACTAAATTCATTTTTAGTGCTTTAGTCATTATATCTTTGGAAGCCTGGTGTAATGGGATGCAAACAAAAACTTCAAAGTCCTGAACAAGGGTTGTCTGATTATAAGAACATTCTTGCAACAAGAAGTTAAAGCAGTTCTCTGAGAAAAAAAAAAAAAAAAAAGAGGGGGGTTGGGGGAAGAGGGAGTTCATGGTGCCAGTTTTAATAATTAATATAGCTTACTTTGCACAGATGAAAAAATACTGAGTATTGGATCCCAAAATATCACATAAAATGAGCAATCAGCCCTCAAAAACTCCTTTCAGTGGAATTCCAGAGAGGTGTTGGTTCATACCTATGATTATTAAATAGTTTTAACAAGGACCTAGGGAAAAAAATAAACAGAAAATCATTACAGAGAGTATTTTCAGATGACATAAATTTGGGCAGAGTAGTAAATAATGAGCAAAATAGATGACTTAGTTAGAGCTCTCTGGATTGCTTGGTAAGCTGGGTGTAAGTGAACAATTGGGACCAAGTGTGCCATTACAAATCCAGGGGAGAAAGAAGTATTAAAGCTGACTATACAAACAGAAGGATAATGCAAGGAGGTAGTGACCCATTTTTTAAACATGGCTATAGCTGCTGCTCTTCCAGATTCCCTTTGTAAAAATCTTTTGCACATCAGGGTTCAGACATAAATTATTCTTATGTCTCCCTGTATGAATTCAGTATTTCATTTGATCTGGCTTGGCAGAGGTAAAACACACGGGGAGATTTGATTAGTCTGTAAGTATCTACGTAAAGAACATTGTGGACAAAGCTGTGGTGTTGTTCAAAGGTTGGATGTTAAAGCTACAGAAATTCAAACTGAAAATAAAGCATAGATTTAAACAGCAAGATGATTAACCACAGGAACTATTTACCAAAGAAGGTGGTAGATTTTCCATCTCTGTGTGTTCTTAAAATGGGTTTGCTACTTTTCTTACTTCAAACATACAATTTGGACTCCGTGTAGGAATTAATATAAGGAACTCCCAGGGCTTGCTTTGTGGAAAGAGGTTTCCTTTTATCCATAGTGCTAGAGAAATTACACTGCCAGAAATGCCTTGTTTGGCCCAATATTTAACCAACTGTAAAAGTGAGTGTGAGACATTCAACCACATGCATTATCCACAAAGCTCAATTCTGATAGCTCTGTGGACATTGCCCAGAGGACCAATTAATTGTCCATCTGCCTTCAATATAGCACCTATTTTGCCTGATATACTCAATTTTCTTCAACTCTATCCTGAATTTGTCACTACTTCAATTTATTTATTATGATTTAGAAATAAATCCTCAAGTCTCATGACACAGCTGAATTTGTCACAATAATCACCTGAGCACAACATATTCCTGTTGTGAAGCTTGATAGGTTAATAGAGCTTCACAAACCTTGTAATGGGGTTTGAGATGCTTGGATAAAAGTGATAAGTATTGGGTAAAATCACCATTAATATTTTTTTAAAACCTTCAAGTATAGTGGCACCCAATTAGACATGCTGAGAACATTATCAGAGTATTAGTCAAGGTATACACCAGCTACCTTTCCTCAAACCTTTTTTTTTTTTTTTTTCTACAAGAACAGAGAATTATTTTTGTCCATAGATTCAGCACTGAATCATTAGGGCTGGAAGAGGGACCCTAGTGGGTGGCATATCTTGTGCTTCTGATTCACAGCAAGACTGAATTCATTTTCTTTAAGCCATTACTGTTAGACTGATTATAAGTCCGCCCTTCAAAGCTTCTAAGTGAAAGTGGTTCTGTGACCTCCCTTGGCAGTTTGTTCCATGGCTCTAGCTATCCTAATAGTTATAAAGTTTGTCTTAATCATTAACTTAAATTTCCCCTTTGTTGCAGCTTCATCCCATTACTGCTTATTCTGACCTTGGTGACTAATTAGAATAATTGGCCCCTGACCTCCTTCTATTGTTCTTTATGTATTTGGAACAGAGATGGGTGTCAAACAGAAAATGTGGAACCATATCCTAATGCCCTGACAGCCTGGGGAAAACATACAGCCTTGGGACTTCTGTTTGACCTATAGAAAGGGTAAAAGCTATTAGAATGTTTAGAATAACATTTTGTCTTTAAAGAAGCTCCATTTTACTAGAGTTTTTATGCAATTACATATTAGCAAGCCAAAAACATCTTGCTGAACTGGCCAGAGCTACCTGGTTAATCAAATCACGTCTGTCCTTCCTCAACCACAAAGGTAGTAGTGAAGCATTAGTAGCTCAGGGTGGTTCAGAGGTTTCGATCAGGGCAACTCATTTGGCATACAGTGTTATAGTTCCTGAACAGTGCCAAATTTTAGCAGATCCATTCAGCAAGACTGGGATTTGTCAGCATCCCTGCTTTATGGAGGAAGAACAGAGAAGATCAGATTAGACTCCCAAAGATATTTGAGGAGATCCTCTTACTGGTTTGGGCAGAAAAAAAAATGAATCCAGTTCTCTCTAAGATATAAATTTGCATGTTAATTCCAGCCTTTGCCTCACTCTGGAACATATCTATTGAATATAGGATTCAGGATCTTCTCCATGATTACAGCTGTAGGTTGTTCTACAGGACATGCTTATTTCTGAGATCTAGGATTGTTCAGATTCAAAATACTTGTCTTTTCAATGAGTATTTTTTCATGAAATGATTGTACACTTTTACTATATACATTGTCTTACTGGAGTGGATCATGTGTCTTGGAAGGATGTTGGATAGGTCTGAAGAGTTCATTTCTTTTCCACATAATTTTTGTTCCATACAAACTAACATATACTTAATGCTATTTTCCAATGTCACAAACTTGCATCCAAAAGAGACTCATGACTTTGAGATCATAGCAACATTAGTAGTCTCTTAATGTAGGATGATTTTAGAAGGAAAGGAGCTTCTTTTTTTTTTTGGGTGTGCACCAGTGGTTAGGTCACCTGTTGATATTGTATGAAGCTGCCTTCAAATGCTGTAGAAATTGGGTCTTGTTAGTAGGATTCATAATAAATTTATCAACAGCTCATTATTAAAAAATCTGTTTTTTAGAAATAAATACAGTCATTATGTATGTAATTTATACTTCTGGTTTCTAGGACAGTCTGTGGCAATAGGTTCGCAAGATTGGCATATAATACATGCAAAAAAAAAATTTATATATATATATATATATGTGTGTGTGTGTGTGTGTGTGTGTGTGTGTGTGTGTGTATTTTTTACCCTAATGCCTAATAATTTTATTGTGTGCTCCAGAATTATTGGGCTGAGAATAACCATTTTTTTATAAATGTTTTTGGCAGTTCTGTTTTAAAGACCTTTGATTCTTCTCCGTTATCTATGGAGATCTAATATTATTGCATTTGTGTGTATTTCTTTACCACGTTTTTATTGCTGGTGTTGGTGAAATCTGTATCCCATTGATTTCAAGAGGAGTATATCAGAGCAGACACTTTTTTTTGCTCTGATAGATAGATTCTTCCTCTAAATGGCAAAGGAAAAAGAATTTGGTACATGGAACAGCACACCCAAATTTAGGGCTAAACACACAACTGATGAGTAAAGAAACTGAAAAAGATTCCCTTACCTTCTGCTCTGTTAACATATTTCCCTGGGATAGTGCAGCAACAGCATATTGAAGTCCTTGTCCTAAATTAGTTAGGTAGATAACTAAATTTTACCATTGGGATCTGATTTCATGTCCTACTTGACAGTTGTGACAGGAGGTAACTTCTGAGTTACAACACCTTATCATTCATGGCATGTCACAAAATATTAATGCCCTTGAGTATGATTAAGTGACACATCATAATAACTTACCATATATCTCAAAGGAAGTCAGAATACAGTGCTGGCCTTTTTTGATGTTCTCAGATTCTAAAAAAAAATGGAAAAAATTATACATTGCTTGCAATTTAAGACCTAACATCTCATTAAGACATCCAGTGAGAGGGTTCTCCAGTAAAATTAAAATGAAATCAAAGTAGTACTATCAAAAGGAAGGAAGTATATAGCCATAACGTAATTCTTACTTGTGCAGTACACATTGCTTTGAAATACAATGACAGGCTTTCCATACAGGTCTTTTAAGTTGAGCATGAGAGAGGGTCAAAAGGCCTGAATTCCAATTGGCTAGTGGTCATTGCCTTTTCATGGAAAGAAGGTTGCCAAACTGATCTGTGATTATACAATTATGTTGGCTACAATTAAAAGTAAATGTAACTAGAGGTAGAATATATATATATATATATATATGCTTCATTCACCATATTTTTGTAGGGCTATCAAGATGCATTTAATGAAGAAAAATCCCTTTCTGTCAAAAATGTATTTTCCTAAAATATTTAAATTCTGAAAATGTTACTTACAAGGTCAGTATTTATTAAAACAACACTAGTTTTTCTTTTTTTCTTTTCTTTTCTTTTCTTTTCTTTTCTTTTCTTTTCTTTTCTTTTCTTTTCTTTTCTTTTCTTTTCTTTTCTTTTCTTTTCTTTTCTTTTCTTTTCTTTTCTTTTCTTTTCTTTTCTTTTCTTTTCTTTTTCTTTTCTTTTTATTTTTAAATCAAAATATTGATTTTTTTGTTGCCAAAAATCGATCCTGTGCAGTTCCTGGTCTTTTAGAAATACTGCAAGTTTATGGATTTTTCCACAACATAGTGCAGACAACAATTTTGAAGATTTTTTTTGATGAAAAACATAATAAAATATTCATTTTTCCAAAAAAAAAAATAAATCACTCACACCGAAATGCAGACTGTCCCAACAAGCTTTTATCTCTATTCATTTGAAATCTTCAAAAGGAAGTATCAAACAGTCTTAAGAGTGTTTTTTTTTTTTTTTTTTAATCATTTACATTAGTTATTTTGCAATTACACGTTTCATTATTCTATGAAGCTTGTATCAGGTGTCCTGACATTCTTTCCCTTTGTATTATAGAGTGTCTTGATCACAGTTCATCTGAGGTAGAAGATCACTTAGCTTTTCTTCACAGGACTGCAGCTGAGATCCACCGCTCCCAGGAGATGGTCGGTGATACAAGGTAAGTGACTCCCAGGAGGGCATCCCACAGATTTACATCAATTAGTATTTTCAGTTGCAGAAATATCTCATAGATCATGAAGAGGAGTTAAAGGAAAAAAAAAAAAAGCCCTTCCTCAAGATTCGTTAATGTCCCCTTTGAATTACCCTGAAGGACTATGAAGCTGTAATGGAGAACTATGACCATGGAAGAGACAGTGCTGTTGCCTCTGTATACTCCTGAGGCCACCCAGGCATATTTCCATAAGTTTAACATGGTTCAAGGTTCTTATATTTAGACAAGGTACAGTGTATTACTCTCTCCAAGGCAAATAACCTTCCCAACCCTCCAAGGTTTAAAAATGGACAGTTTATTTTACAGTTTAATAGTATGACAAATTTTGAGTTGAAGACTGTTCACTGCCAGGTAGAGGCAGTCAAAGAATGTGTAGACAGAGGCAGAGATAATCACAAATGCATAGTCCTCCAGAAGGAATTTCTATCATACCAAAAAAATTAAGAACCAGAAATTTTGTGCTCCTCTGTTTGAAAAGTCCCTAGTGCTAATCCGAAGTGGGTAAGGGTGAAAAAAAGTTAAGGTAGGGAAATGTTCAAGTAAAAATGTGTCCAAGTTCAAGCAAAAATAATACACTTCTAAATTTTGTATTTTTTACTTTCACAGAGTCTTCCATTATTTCATTTGGCCTCACTCAATTGTTGTTTGTATGTTATATAGGTAGAGATTTCACCCCTGAATACTGAAGAAAAGGAGAAGAAAGAAAAAGTCTGTTGGAGAAGTACCAAATTACATATCGTTCAGAAGTGAAACAATCTTTGCTGGTTTTAGAAAGCAGCTCTATTGCAAATATCGTTGTGGTATACGTTTACCCTCCTAGACTTCTTTTATACCATTTCCCTAGAAGGTAGCAAAACACACTGGTGCTTTGGATAAATAGAAACCCAGAACAGATAGAATAAGTAGCATGGTCATGGTTATACAGAAGATATGTGGCTAAGCAGGAGCTTGAATAAGGATCTCAGCATTACAGCTCTGCTAATCTGAATACCTCTGCTTTCTGCGACAGCAGACAGACAGGCATCAATGAAGTAAACTGGAGATACAACATATTAAACAGAGTCTGCATGGGCTCAAGCTAGGGAAATCAATTGCTTAAACTGTTGAAAGCAGAGAGATAATATAGGCAAAATCTTCACTTTAATTATTAACTGCTTTCAGCTTTTTATTTTTTTTATTTTTTTATCAGAATGGAGGAAAGGGGAAAAAAAAAAAGAAAAGAAAAAGATTTATCAGAACTGAGTGATCAAAAAGATTATTTCTTTTTTTCTTCCTAAGAAAAGCTGCAACAATTCTTCATCAATTATAAACCAAGAAAGACAGGGGCAAGAAGAACACTTTGCATGCAGGCCTCCCGCGCTTCCCCCCCTTCCCCCCTTCCTTTTCTGTTCCCCCCCCCCCCCCCCCCGTTCTTCCTTTGGTCTCTTTGCTCTTTTGCTCCTTCCTCAACCAAGAGCAGTTCTGCCACTGTGAATACATACCTGGTGTACAGCAATGGTTCATGGTTAGATGATTTTGATCTGTGCTTTTTATCTGGGGGGGGGGGCGGGGAAGGAGGCTGCGTGGTCTCCATGCAGATATAGGAAGAACTTTCTGCTTCTGTGGTCTTTTGCCTCTGAGGGCATACTACTATGCCCAGCCTCTGGAACCATGACACGCACACAATTCACACCACTCAGTATTGAGATTTAATGACCGATATTAATAGTAGTCAGTTAAAAGGGAGGGAAAGTGTCTTTAAAGATCTGAAGATGAGTTCTCTTCCTTCTGCCTGCACCACGACTGCTTTCAATTCTGCTGAGGAACTAGTCTACTCTTTCTCAGTCCAAACCTCCCTTTTCTTCTCTTTTCTTCCTTTTCTCCCTTTTCTTTCTTTTCTTTTGCTTTTGAGTTCTCATTTCTTTTCTCTCTTTTTTTTTTTTTTTTATCTTCTACCTCTTTGTTCCTCTTCTCTGTGGACCTCACTGCAAAGATCAGATTTCTTTTGTTTTTGCCACTTTCATTTTCACTTTCTAAAACTCATTATTTCTTTTGATGACCAGCATTCATCCTTCTAATAATTCAGATATAAAGAAAGAGTATGTAAAGAGAATAGCTAATAACTTCCCCTCATAATGTTTCAGTCTGCAATAGGAGCTGACATCCTCATGAGGGCATGGTAACAAGTTTTGGAGAAACTTGTGAGGGACCTGCCATGGAAATTAACAGGAAAGATGGTAGCCACAAAGAAAAGAAAAACAAATTCTTCCCTGGGCTGGTGACAGCCCCTTAACTCATTTGTGTTTTCTTCTCAAAGGCACAACTGAAAAAAGCCTACAGATGGGAAAATGGGATGCAAGGATTGATGTTTGAATATCATGAAAATGGACCAGATCCTCAGCTGGCATAAATCAACACAGCCCCACAGGAATCAATGCAGCAATGCCAATTTACACCACATGAAGACCCAGCCCAATAAATCTATCATGCTCTGGATAAAGGGGTGAATGGGGAGAAGGAATGTACTATGAATTACTGTCTAGGAAAATATGCAGCGAAATAGAAACACAGTTCCTGTTCATTGCAGAGGTGTAGCTATAGCAAATACTTCCTTTGGTACAAAGCATGTCCCTGTCGATCCCCTGCATCTTTCATTCTTGCTCCCATGAAGGAGATTGTGGCTGATGCAGCATCATGAGTGTTTGCCCAAAGGTTTGAAGGAAATTAAGACATTGATTCTATGTTACACAGGGGGTTATTAAGAAGTAGCTGTTTAAATGTAAAATAAAGCAATGCTCCTGTAAAGGCTCTACCTCATACACATTAGTCTGCACCATGAAAATCCCAGACAGTGTCCTGAGTTTGCACTCAGTCTGTGGTATCTCCCCTACAAGCCATACTGTTATTAACCTGCAGCTCTCCCATATCTGAGCATTTTATAATGACAAAATAAAACACCACATCTGTTTTGTCACCTTTGGTGTCTCTTTAGTGTTTAAAATAATGGTTTGGGGCTTGGTAGTGGTTTTGTTGTGTGATGTGAAAAGTATGACATCCTCTGAGGTGTGGCTGAAAGTCAAATAAACAAGGATATGAACCTCTTCTCTTAATTTCTTTCCACTGTTGCTTTCCTAATATTTATTCGGCCTCAGTTTCTATCCCCCATGACTCTACATTTAGGAAGATAGTGGGAAATAGGAAGAAAAGAGACTGAAAGAAAGTGCTTTCATTTCTGACTTATCACAGAGGGCATTTTTTTTCTCCCTCTGAGGAGTAAATCAAGAAATGTTTCTTCTGTCAGAAAATATAATGAAAAACAAACAAACAAACAAACAAACAAACAAAACAAAAATAAATAAATTAATAAGAAAAAAACAAGCAACTCAAATCGAAGGTAAGAAGAATAGAAAGTTTTTCTCATTTCTCAGTGTACTAGGTTGATATCTGCTTTCTGAGAGCAAACGCTAACAGCTTACAGGAAGATTACTGAGTAACTCTCAGATATTGTCAGTGTCCCCTGTAATATTTGAACTCTTCTGTACATTTTGCTTGAAAATGCTTTTGCTTTTATTTTTTTTTCTTTGTTTTTAGCACAAATTCAGTGTAGCAAATTAATTCAAGTTCAGTACAGCAAAAGCAATACATTGCATACCAGCAAATCCAAATACCAGCTGGTTGTCAGAAGCTAACAGAGAAAAACAGTTCTTTTCCCAGTGACAAAAGTAAGCAATTTCTCACTTTGCATAAAAAGGGGAGGGGGGGGGGGGGGGGGAAGAAAATATCAGATCTAACGGCAGAAGAATGAAAAGTGATATATATAAAATAGCAAAATTATATTTGGACTCCAAATGAAAAGATTTTGTTTCTGTTCATGTCTGAGAAAACTCACTGGGGGATGTAAATAGGTAATGCTGCCATTTGTCTTACTGATAAAGTTTGAAAGAGCAGCAAGGTTCAAAAATGAACAGTAGTAAACCATCAAAGCAGAGAAAATCAGGCAAAATCTGAACAACAGAGCAAACAAGATACAGACAACAGTGCTTAGCAGGTCATGAAGATTTTTAACAATTAAACTAAGAAGACAACAAAGGAAAGTATGGAATTGACCTGCGTAATCATTGAAGTCCTCTCCAAAATTATGTCTTTGTTTCTAATAGACAGAAAGCTGCTTTTGTCAAACCAGTTTGGGGTAAACCTTTGCCATTGGCAACAGGCAGACTTGGATAGGCATACCCAGGATAAGATTTTTGCCATGTAAATGGTAACAATGACTTTCCTTCAGGGCCATTGCAGGGATGGAAAGAGCCCAGTCAGGGTCTCTGCAGGTAAAAGAACTACATGATAGACAGAAACCCATATATCTACCCTTTGCAGAGATATCATAAAAACTCATTCTTCTGACCAAAACAATTCATGAGGGTATGAATAGAAAGGAATATGGTGTGTCTGGATCTTGTTTAACTCCATGGAGAATTTTTTTTTTTTTTTCCCCAGTTTGTTGATTTGAACACATGCACAACCTTGATGTTTGAAACAGAAGAAGTTTGGCTGTGGAAGAAATTTTATTAGTTTCTATCTTTTCCTATCTTTAAGACAGTTCCTTTCTTAGAGGGGAAGACGTATGAGGAGCGGCTGAGGGCACTGGGCCTGTTCAGCCTGGAGAAGAGGAGGCTGAGAGGGGACCTCATCGCAGTCTACAACTTCCTCACACGTGGGAGTGAAGCGGCAGCTGACCTATTCTCCGTAAACACCAGTGATAGGACCCACGGGAATGGTGTCGGTCTGAGGCAGGGGAAGTTTAGGCTGGACATCAGGAAGAGGTTCTTCACTGAGAGGGTGGCTGCACAATGGAACAGGCTCCCCAGGGACGTAGTCACTGCACCAAAGTGACTGAAGCCTGTCTGAATTTAAGAAGCGATTGGACTGTGCACTTAGTCACATGGTCTAAACTTTTGGGCAGAACTGTGCGGTGTCAGAAGTTGAACTTGATGATCCTTATCACTTATCCCTTCCAACTTGGGATATTCTACAATTCTATGATTTTGTCAGGGCATCGTCATACTCTTTCTCCTTTTCTTGTGCCTTTATTTATTTGTTTAATTATTTATTTAATTATTTTTGTTATAAATGAGGTCTCAATCTGAATTTTGTAATATTTATAAAACAAATATTTCTAAAAGGAATAAAAGGCAAGTAAAACGGAACTGGGTGTGCGGGGAGTCTATGCTCAACCAACACACACACACGAACATCAAATATTCTAAATATACAGAACATTGCTTTATATACTAAACCCGAGTATGCCTATACATACGTACAATCAAAAAAGGTAATAAAGAATCCTTTAAGTTCCATATGTGGGAATAGAAATGTTGTTTTTGCAGAGTTACATTGTTTAGAAGGAGGGAATGTGGTACTGAGATATGCTTACAGTGATAAGAAAGTTCAGCAGGCGACCTAGTAAAATGCAGACAACCAGACTCCTTAGGACAATTAGGTGAAAATCACGGTGTCAAGTCAGATAAGTGAAGAAACATTACCACTTCAAGCAGTAAAAATGTCAAAAGAAATTTGAAATTTAGCAGGCCGGCAACTGAAGGCCATGCGTTGTTTGTGAAGCATCAAATAGATTGTGAACCTGGATTACTCACTCAGTGGGGAAACAGGGGAGGGTCCTGCCATCAAAAGGTATATAAACTGTGTTTTGGAACTAGTAGATGCGCTCTCTCCTGCTTGTGGGGCACCCGCCATTGCAATCGCAAATAAATTACTACTTCACTGAGATCCTCGCCTGAGCCTAAGTTATTGGCTACGGAGTGTTTCTCACACATAACTTACTAAAATCGCGTACACCTAAATATATGTACAATCAGAAAAGGTAACAAACAATCCTTTAAGTTTCATGACTTAATAGTCTCCATTTTCTATTCCTTTTGAGCGATATGTCTTGCTTTAAGTTGTCAAGCAACTTGGTCTTCAGGCCTTATGTCTCCCGTTTTTCCCAGATAAAGCATATTCATCTCCTTTTCAAGGCCAATAGGCCTGGGTCAAAAGGCATGTTCAGGTCAGCAAGGGGCGTAACAGCAAAAGCCTTCGATGGCTGTAGCAGCAGAGGGGCCCATGGCGTAGCAGTCGGATGAATAAAGGAGCCCACAGCTCCCTCACTGTCTGGCAAACCACACGTTTCTGCCTGTGGCCCCACATGTCTCATTAAGGCCTCAGAGATTGCTCGCCAGGTGCCGAGCAATCCCACCACAACCTTGTCATTTTTAGTTGCAGAGTCCCACACCTTGACCCCAGTTTCGTCCCATATTTCAGGCTCATAAACTGTCCGATTGTTAAGAAGGAGAATAAGCTGTAAGGTTACCAGGACTGTCTTTGTTTCTAAGGACGTATGATTC